GTCTCAGATTATTCAAAGAGGTATCTAATAAAGATGTAGTTTTATGGACTGCAATAGTCTCAGAAGCAGGATTTTTATTTTTTGTATTGACTGGTTGACAGGCCAGTTGTCCGCGCCGGTCGTCCGTCCGGTCAACCTTTGGTTTGATGAAAACTCAAATTCCTTCATTGGGGCAAGCAATATCAAATAGAAAAATTCCTCTTTTTTTTTTTACTCAGATTTGATAAAAATTCTGATGAACCATTGGAGATGCTTTAATATATCATTTTTCTGTCAATTTTACTGAAAAAAATAAGTTGCTGGCTTAGATTAAAAAAATCAAAATATTAAAATTTAAATTAATAAAATTAAAAAATTAAAATTTATTTTGTTATTAGAGTCAAACTCTACAATTTAACAAAAAAATTAAAATTTATTTTGTTATTAGAGTCAAACTCTGAAATTTAAGAATCAACCTAACAAGCCTCCTATGTACATTTTTTTTTTTTTTTACTTATCGCATCCCTCACGATTTTTTTTTATAGATATAATGAATTTTATAAATATATTTAGAATAAATTATAAATACATTCCTTAAGTTTTTATTAAAATACAGATTAATTTTTATAGTTTTAAAAATTACATTCCAATTTTTTAAGTTTTTAATTGTATAACAAATTAATATTTTTATTAATAAATTATCAAGTCAATTAATATATTTTAATAATATCATAAATATATTTCAATTAAAAATTAATTTTATTTTATTGTTGTATAGAAGAGTTGTTAAAATTTTTATATTTTCTGTTAATTCTGTTAAATAAATTTTTTTGATAATGAAGCATTTACAATTTCTAAAATTATAGGGGACATTTTGTATTTTAAACAATTTTCAAGATTTCAAAATTTGTGTTTGTAATTATCCCTATATTTAGGCATCGTTTAGTAATTTTTTGATTTTTTTATTAAAATATGAGATAAAAAATTAATATGTTTGGGATAAGTTTTTGGTTTTTTATGAAAAGATGTGTAAAAAGTAGAGAGAAAAAGAAATCTTTGATTTTTTGATATAGGCTGTTGATTTTTTAATTTTTTTTAATAATTTTTTAACTTTTAGACTAAAAAATTGAGTTGTCAAATGAGAACTTAATATACATATAATTTTAAAATTTTATTTTACAAAACAAATTAAAGGGTGACCAGACTCGGAGGTGGATGAGGACAAACCGGAGATAGTGGCTCGATACGACCTCGTTTAGGAACAGACTATTTTAATAATTTTTTAATTTTTTTACTAAAATATGAGGTAAAAATAATTAGGGGTTGTTTGCGATGAACTGTATAAGTGCACTTTTTTACTTTTTAATAAAAAAAGTAGAGAAAAAAAATATGTATGTTTGAGATAACTTTTTGACTTTTTACGAAAAAATGTGTATTGAAATATTGTAACAAATAGCAAAATTACATTTTTTACCCTTGAGTTGACCTCCGACAAAGTTGCATCGCCTGGCAGCTTTTGCATTTCAAAATTTTTTATATTTTTTATTATTTACATACTGCTGCAAATTTTGCGTGGCCCAACGTGTGCCACGTGTGCATAGATAGAGTGATGGGATGGCATAGCTGGAAGGGGGAAAATTGTCTTTTTGCCGTCTAAATTTTCAGACATACATTCCCATCCAAACAAGGTAAAAAGATGAACTTTTTGAATTTTTAAGTAACTTTTTGAATTCTTATCTTTTTTAGAGTATATTTGATATGACTTTTTGATTTTTTACGAAAAAAATGTGCAAAAAATATAGAAAAAAGAAAATCTTTGATTTTTGATTTTTGATTTTTATTTTTATTTTTTTTGTATAGTTTGTTGGCTTTTGGGAAAACATGATATTATAATAACTTTTTTTGCTTTTTACAAAAAAAAAATATTTAGAAAAGTAGAAAGAGTATTGTGATAACTTATAGTGACTTTATGACTTTTTAACTAAAATACATTGTTGACAAACGAGATTTTAATCAGTATGTTTGGTTTGAGTTTTCTAGATTAAGTTTTTTGAAAACTGAGTTTTTTTATTTTCGTATTTTTTTTTGTTTTTAGTGAATATTTTCAAAATTTTAAACATTTTTTTTTTACTTTTTTAGATGCACCTTACTTAGATGTATCTAAAAAGTAAAAAAATTGTGAAAAAATATTTAAAAAAATTAATAAATACATAAAAATACAAAAAATGTACTGAATTCTTGTATTTTTTCTTGTATTTTTTGTATTTAGTGAATTTTTAAAAGATTTTTTTTTACAATTTTTTTACTTTTTAGGTGTATTTATGTTAGGTATGTCTAAAAAGTAAAAAAATTTCCTAAAATATTTAAAAAATTCAGTAAAAACAAAAAAAATCCGAAAAATAAGAAAGTAAAATTTTCTAAAAAGTGTTTTTAGAAAAATGGAACCAAGCAAGCTGACTTTTTAACTTTTTGACTAAAAACTAATGTTTCCAAATGAGGCCTAAGGGTGGTGATCGAAGTGAAGGTGAAGGTAGACGAGAACAAATTAGAGATAATGACTGGTAGCCGAGTGCGGTGGCTAAGGCAGAGGCCGGGGCGATAGTTGTGGCAAGTTAAAGTTTGTTTATTTTTTGAAAATTAAAAAAGAAAAAAATTATTTAGTATGGATATACGGTGCCATTTAAGTGTAAAATTATAAATTAAATTGGCAGATTGACAAATAAACAAAATGCTATTTGGACGACTCTAATTTATTAATTGATTGAAAAATAATTTTAAATAATTATCAACTATTTATATAATATATATACTAATTTACGTAATATTTTTTTTATATGTATAATACTAATTAATTTTATGTAATATTAATTTGTAACAAACTGTATGTATTAAATCTCTCACATTGATTTTTATTTTGATATTTTATTAAAGGTAAAAAAAATTAAGTATGTAATAACTATAATAAAACGGTCCAATTTTAAAGAAAAATTATAAATTTGAAGTTACAGATCAAACTAACCTATGGTTAACAAGCGGATTGGATGGGATCAAGGTTCTAAATATCAGCCGGTACGTCCCGTACCGGCTGGTTCGTACCGGAAAATGAGAGAGCCGAGTCGGATACTCATCAGTATACCGGCGAGAATGAGTTTCACGGTCGTATCGGTCGATTCCCAACACGTATCGGCCCGAATCCGATACGTAAATGATTTGTTTCCAATACAGTCTGATACGGTTGAAATTCACCTGCAAAAATAATTGAGAAAAGCAAAACAAAGCACCTAGAAAAGCAAAAAATAATGAGCAAAGCACCTGCAAAAAAAAAAAAATAATGGACCAAAGTACCTGCAAAAATAAAAGTAAAAGCAGAAAAGGAAAGAACAAACTCACAGACTCTCATGCTCTGTTTGTATATGTGATGCTCTGTGTTTTTTTTTTTTGGCTGAAGAAGTCATGGTTTTGTTTTAAGTTATGTTCGGTTTGTTTATTGTTTGTTTAAGTATATGTGATGCTCCGTTTTTCTTTTTGTTGTGGCTGAAGAAGTCATCGGTTTGTTTATAATTTGTTTTAAGTCATGGTTTTTGTTTTGTTTTGTTTTTTTTTTTCTGTGGTTATTTTTTTAAATGCACATAATTTTTTATATATATTATTGAGGTTGAATAGAACTGAGGAGCAATTTTTTACATAATTTTAAATGCACATAAGTTCAGAAGCTGAATAGAACTTATAATTTTATAACTCAGGAGCAGGTTTGTTCTCTCATAATTTTATATATATATATATATATTATCGGCATAGAATATAATTTTTTATATATATTGTAACTATGATTTGAGAATATGAGTTGTATTTTGAGTTTGTGTGTTTTAGAATTATGATTTGAGTGTAGAAAATTTGTTTGGTTATGGTTTTTGAATAAAGTGTTGAATTGAGTGTGGAATTGAGTGTAGAATTGAGTTTTGAAAGTTTGATTTGACATGTGAAGTAAGAAAATTTGTTTGGTTATGAGTTTTGAAAAGAGTTTTCAAAACTTAATTCAAATTGTTATAACTCATAACAAAACACATTACTTTCACATTATTGAAAATTTTGATCAACACTCATAACCAAACTCTTTTTAAAATTCAATTAAAAAAATTTATTATTAACAGAAAATAACATTAATCAATTTTTTAGTTGAAAATATTACAAAGGAAATAATTTTTTTTCAAAATAAATATTCAAAAAATTTAAATCATAAATATTTAAATAATTTAAATAATCTAAAAAATTTAATAAGTAAAAAATTAAAATAAATATTCAAAAATTTTAAATCATGAAAATTTAAATAATTTAAAATGTTAATATTTTAAATTTAAAAATAAATCTACACTCAAATAGTAACCAACCACATAAAACAAAACTCAATTAAGACTGAAGCAAATGATTTATTTTCATGTCCCTCTTTCTCTTATTAATTTGTTGTGCATGTGGAAGTTTATTAATTTGTTGTGCATGTGGAAGTATTTCATTGTTGAAAATAAGTAAAAAAATATTTCCACATCAATTTTATATTAAAAGTTTCACAGTTATGCCAAATAAAAGGTTGAGACTAAAATAAATACATATTATTTAGTTGAAAATAAATCAAAAAGGTGCCTCTACATATCAAAATTTTGATTAAAATGTGATAAATTAATGCTAAAAGAGTAAAAAAAAATGCATAAAATTGAGTTTTAGGTGGATTGCTAATGATTTTTAAAATTTCAAGCCGCGACGCCCGATACCCGATACGTACCGGTCGATACTACCGATACCGATACTCCGCGATCGATACCGTTACGTTACCCGATACCACAATTTAGAATTATGGATGGGATGCACCACATGGCATGATACAAAAATGAAACGGACGCAGCAACAAGCAGGTGAAAGGCACGTGTCCCATACACGCGTCAGAAAGCAGGGAGAGGTGTCGACCATGACAAGACTCGCTGAACTCTATATATATATATATCTTTGAATTGAGTCAGTGCAAATCTATCTACTATTTCTCACTCACTCACAAAACATTTCAGTTTTTATTAGGACATAGCTGAAGCAACAGTCGAAAATGGCATCCCATGATCAGATGTACAAAGCCGGCGAAGCCATGGGCCAGGGCCAGGTAATCTTTATCTTTACTTACATAATGTTCATTTTTTTATTTTTTTATTTTTGATATTTCATTTCAATTACATGTTTTCTTTTCAGCATCTTGGACTAGAGCTTAGGATCTAAATCTAATGATGGGGACATTATTAAGTTATGAAATAATCTTAAATTAAGGAGAAAATTAAAGTGCTATATGTATTAATAATGTTATATCTATCGGATTTGGGTTTGCTCTACCCAGTTATTTTGTTCCCTTTGTCCGGTGACAATTATGGTTGATAATAGTGTGACCGTCCTAGTTAACAAAAGTGCCGTTTTCAAAAAAATTAGGCAATCTGGGCGAGCTCAAGTGAATCAATCATTTGATGTCCAGATTTTATCATTTATTATTTTAGTCTCTGCATGGCTACAAAAAATAATTATTAAGTTAGTTGAGGTGAACTTGAAATAAGGCATTTGAAATTACAGTCATTAAAGATGACAGAACCGTCAAAATATAAGAATTATAAGAAATATTAGGGATCATGTAAAATTTTTTTATGAAGATGATCATGAAAAATTTATGACCCTTAGATTACTTTGATTTATGTATGGTGCTTTATTCTAAATATAATTCAAAGATCACAAATCTTTCATGATTATTTTCATGAAAGACTTTTCATGATACTTAGTATTGGTGAAGAATTATCCGTATAACATGATCTACCTAAATATTAACGTTCCATTTTGAAAAAATAATCAATGAAAGATAACATTTTGTTGATAATGGTGGTTACAAAATTACGCAGGAGAAGACCGGACAGATGACGGAAAACATGAACCAGAAAGGCCAGGAAACAAAGGAAAAGGCCTCGGAAGAGACCGGTGCTGCCAAGGAAAAAACCTTGGAGACCGCGCAGTCCGCCAAGGACAAGGCCTCCGGAGCGGCACAGGCCACCAAGGAAAAAACGTCGGATAGCGCGCAGTCCGCCAAGGACAAGGCCTCCGAAGCTGCGCAGGCCACCAAGGAGAAGGCGGCAGAGATGGCAGAGTCGGCCAAGGAGACGGGGGAAGCCGGCAAGGACAAAACCAGCGACATCCTGCAGAAGACTGCGGAGCAAGCTATGACCATGGCTGAAGATGCAAAGCATGCTGTCAAACACGCCTTTGGCATGGATGATGATGATGATGACACTCCTACCACCGCCCCCGCCCCCTAGAAGGGACAATAATTAATTAGTTTGGATTCAAATAAAAGTTTTTTTTTTTTTTTTTTTTTTTGTTTTTTTGTTCTTGTGGTGGTCTGTTTATCATTTTATGTATGTGTTTGTTTGTTTGTTCGTTTTTTTTTCTTCAAGTTGGCTCATGTTTTGGGGTGGGTTGTTTAAATTTGGTAGAATTGGGTTTTCTTGTTTCTACTACTAATACTTGAGCTGCTAGTTATGAAATGAAATCATGTATTTTGTTTCATTGTTGGCTCAAACTACTTCCAAAAGCGTCTTCTAATAAATACTGCCATCTCAGTTGTATGAATGTTCTTAATGTTTGTTAAATAAATATAAAATTTTATTATAGCATGTTATGTTATATTTTGCATAACAATATGTCATAAATAATATATAATTCTTTTAATTAGCATTTTAATGTGTGTCTTGAGAACATATCTTAAACGTAAAATGTAAGAGGCAGATAGTGAAGAATAAATATAGTTCAATAAATTGTTCTGGAATGAACAAAAATTCATTAAGGTCTGCTCTTGATATTACTTGGTATTTTATCTGTGCGACTAAATAGTTTTGACAGGAAAAGGGAAGCCATACAGTAGAAGAAGACAGATGCAGTGTCTCCGTCAATGGTAGGTCAAGAGTGTAGAAACACCGTGGTCACCGAGTTCAAGTTGCCATGGCCACTGAGTTCAAGTCGCGTTTTCACCATCTTAATATGGAAACAAAACTGTTTACAGTAGAGAAAACAGGAAATAACAAAATTCATACATATCATCATAACTCCATGATCACCAATAATTTCTTGTGTGGCTATAAAATGGCCATAAACCTGTCCAAAAGTATAACATTGCAGCACTGGTATTAAGAGATGAACAAAAGGCTGCTCAAGAATCCTTCCATTTGTAAATTTATCAATGTAAAAACAATGTGATAAATATTTATCAAAACACAAAAAACAAAAAAATGTGATAAATACCCAAAGAATTAGAATTGCAACTTTGAAATTAATCATATGTTGATATAACAATAACATTAGCGAAGGTAAATATTGAAAAGCAAAGGCTTCTATCACATCTGGTTACAAAAATTTAGACTTTTGCAGCAAAATTTGACATCATCAATCCTCAAGTGAACACAAAAGAAAAGAAAAATAACCCGGGAGATGGAAATTATCCAGCTTTACAGATGAAACCACCAACAGAGAGCGTGACAAGATCAAAAGGGGGAATGCAGCCACAAACTCAGAAGATACCTCGCACAGTTGCACTCTACAATCAGAAATGTCAAATGCATCTTCAAACCACAATGCATACAAATGGGGCTTTCCACCTAAACTTCTGTTTCCACCTGGTCATCGTCAATTCCATGCAAGACAAAACCCGCAAGCATTACTATCCAAGTCACGATACCCAGTCATCTAATTCAATACTTGCAGGAGAGACTGTAGAAGCAGTTGAAATAGATTTTTCATCCACCAATTGTAACGGCCCCATCTTCTAATACCATAACCTGCAAAAATGGGCTGTTATAACTCTACAAGGTCATACAGACCACAGTTCTTTGATTCCATGTGGCCTGTCATTTTTGTCCATCTTTTACGGAGATGTCTTTTTAATGATTTCCAGAAGATACAGATTTCCATAAAGCAAGATGATAAAATGACAAAGCTTTTTGTTGTGGTTGTTTTTTTTTTTAACATCTTTGTTCAAAAGCCATTTCTAAAAGCAAGCTTCATCAAGCATCAGCAAATTTGTGTTTTCTAGATTGCCAATCTATTCTGGAAAAAACACGCATATACAGAAGAAAGGCAATAAGAAAACTTGATTGCTCAAATTGTCAAGCAATCTATCCACAGCTTTTATCAGCCTGGAGCATCATATTTAAATGATTCTGTGAATTTAAACAAAAAACCAGACGCTAATATCATATTTTCCTTGCTGAAACTCACCAAAGTGTCAGCCAGTCAAAAAGACAAACATCATTTCATGGTTCCTGTAGAGCATAAATATTGAAGCAAATACTCATTGGAAGAACATGTTTCTGCCAAATCTTGATGTAATCTGGTAATTGCCTTTTGCAATGATTTTAGAGAAGGAAGCAACTTTCTGGAGTTCTGTTTAATATACTGACCATGAGCTTTGCAGAGCTCCTGCAACAAACACCAAGTTTTGACTGAGATGAAAACCTGACTGAGATGAAAGGATAGAGAAGGTTAACGTTTTGAGAAAAAACCTGACTCCATTGAAGCATAAACTCCAAGTGTGGACAACTATCCAAAAGATCTGCAAATGCTTCAATTAGCCTTTGCAAATATTTGGAAGGGACCGATGAAGCAACAACTGGTATATCTACTGGACTAACAGCAACAATACACTTTTTGATCAGAGTATCTTCATTTAACCGTAGGCTAAGGGTCAAAGCCCTGCTTGGTTGATCTTCATTTAGTGCTACATCAACTGCCTGTACGACAAGGTTAACTATAGATGATAACACACATTTTATAACCAAAATCAACATTTCTATTCACAACGTTGAGTTGTAAATATATTATATGGGAAATTTATCATCATGAGAGCAAGTCTCTTCCTAGGAGCAATGACATCGCAAAATCTGAAAAACATTGCAATGATATACCTCTGGTGTAACATCTATGTCAAGGTCAGTGGGATCAAAGCTGAAGGATTCGTCTATCGAATAAACTAGAACCCCCTCTGTTGTTGCTGCTGCCCAACTCCTGCCAGTTGGTGCAATTCTCAGGCATTTTGTCCGAATAACAGGCCTTCCACGATTAGGCATGGATCCTGGTAAATCATAACCTAAATTTCTCCGGGTTTGTTTGCTAACACCATCCTCTGCATCACTATTATAATAATCAATTAAATCCAATGGACCAGCATCTGTCATTTTCTTTGAGTTCAAGAAGTCCAGAACTCCATCCAAAGAAAGATTGAGGGTTATTTGAAACCTACGAAGCAGTACCTGAAAAGTGCAGAATTTTCATGCATAAATGAACCTAGTTTGCAACACGAAAAACACAGCATAGTAGAAACTAATTATGTAGACAAATATTACACATCACAACAAATTGATCAAAGGTATAAATATAGCTAATAAATAAAAGAACAAATAGGTAATAAATGCTCAATGAATAGATTCATTAGAGTTTCTAGCATTAACAGAATTGCCAAGCACACTAAAAGGAATTCTATAATAAGGATAATCCTCTGAAAATCTTCAGGCTTAAGAATTTAACGATATTATCAACCCTTGGTTGTAACCCAAGAAACTTCTCTCACAAGTCACTTACCATTTCATCTACTCCACACTAAAGTTTGAATGGAAACATATTCCACGCATAGTTTGTGGCATAAAATTTAAGTAAAAATGAAAGCTTGGAATTTCAGCAATGTCATTTTACTAAATGAAATAGGTGAGAACGGTCTAAAAACAGATCAAAACCAAATAAAATGAAAAACAGAACAAAAGAATAAGGTGTTGCAAAGAGGAAGAAAGTTATTTGTAAACCTATTAGTCAAGCAAACTAACCTGATCAGCAATGTCATACATACAAATGTATTTACTACTTCCACCAGCCAATATGTAACTCCCATCAGCAGAATAACATAAGGTCGTAAAGTACTTCCCAGCACTGGAGTTAGCAGCCGACCTACGATCAGTCATAAGACGGCCACCAGCAATGTCTCTACGGCCCTCTATTGTGTACATTAACACGCCATCAATTGTATCCCAGAAATGGATTTGCCCATCTAATGTACTGCAGGCCAATTGCTTTCCATCTGGTCGATAAGCAACTGTAAGAACATCATGTGTGTGGGGAAATGTTTCAACTGCGCCTTTTCCTTCAAAAACATCCCACAAGCGAACAGTTTTGTCCCACGAAGATGAAGCTAAGATGGCCTACATGTAAAACATCATGTTTGTTTAAGCTCCATATCAAGCAAGAAGCACGAATAAAAGAAGAATGACTGTCCCCTAAATGCTCTGTCAACCAGTACATCATAAAAGCCCAAAACAGGGGAGAAGTGATGGTGGGTTTTAGTAACAAAAATATATTAGAAGTATAAACAAATGAAAACATATTGTTCTAGCAAACAGATTAAACACAAGTCAACTCACATTTGTAGGTGAAAACATTAATCCATGAACAGGACCCTCATGACCACTGAGAACATCTAACAGCCTCGCTGTCTTCAACGACCAGACATAAATCTAATACACAAACATACAGAACTACACTGTCAGAAAAAATAAATAACTGCAGGAGAGCAATGTCAAAATCCATACAGAACTAGAAAAATACCTCATATGAATCAAAAGTTCCAGCACAAATCACTTCACCACTCGGATCTGATGCTAAAGAAACAAATTGCTTAGAAGAAGGGGTAGTGAAGGTCCTAAAATTCCGATAGCGGAAAAGATCCCATGCACGAACAGTCCCATCAAGAGATGCACTCAACAGAACATGGTTGCTGGCCATAAAATGGAGTGCAGTGACTGCACTGGTGTGCTCCGAAAATGTCACAAAACAAAAGCCTGAGGAAACAGTCCACACCTATAACAACCAAGTGCTAGAACACCATGAGTTTACCACACAAATTAATACAGTAAATTCCTTGAAACAAACACACGGCTCATCTAACGGAAAGGGTAGAAAAAACTTGTTGAAAAGAAACCTTCATTCTACCATGTTTCAACCATGAAAAATAAGTACAACAGAAACAGGGACTAGGTCATGTAAAGCCAATATATATACATGATGTCTCTTCTACGCACAAATCAGTAGCATAATGTTATGTATGTCATTTTATTAAAACTATTGTTTACTTTATTTTATTATTTATTAGATATTAGTTAGGGGTAGGGGTCATGGGGCAGTGGTTTAGTGGGCAGTTTTCCTACCTTGTAGTATCATGGGTTTAGCGCTAAGTTATGTTACATGGACTCGGGTGCGGGTGTCGAGTGTGGGTGCATATCTAAGGGTCGGACACTTCAAAATTAAAAATTAGAGATACGTGGATATGGATCCAAATTTGGATACGGGTACAGGGATACGTTCAATAGTTATTTTTTAAAATATATTTATTATGTGAAGATGAGTTTAAAAAGTTAAAAAATAACAAATTTTGTTAAAAAAATAACCAATAAAATATAAATAATAAATAAAAATTATTTTAGACATAAAATAAATTACATTATATATGATAAAATAAATTATTTTTATTTTAGACATAAAAATTATAATATTTATAATATATTATAATATACAATATTTTTTTGAGTGAATATTATATAATATGAATACTATTATATATTATTATATTAATATCATTTATAAATAGAAACCAGAGAAAGAGAACGGAAGGAAAGGAAGAGAAGGCAATCAAAGAAGAAAAGAGAGAGAGAGACCAAAAGGGGAATCGAAGCCCTAGGGTGGAATCGACTTTGAGATGTTGGTTTTCAAATCTCCTTCGATTCGGTCTAGTTTGCGACTAGGGTTCGCACTTCGATCTTGCTTTGCGACTCAAGTTGCTTCGCAAAGGTGAGTTTCAGCCCTCTCTCTCTCTCTCTCTCAACAACCCTTCTTCTTTCTCCTCTCATGTCAGCCGTGTTCAAGAAAACCATGCCAAATCCAACACATATCTCACAACCACATCCGTGTCGTGTCCTGTCGTGTCGACACGGGTACTCTGCCCTAAACCGGTGAGTCCATGTAACACAGGCGCTAAGAAGCACGAACACTTTTAAGAAGATGATGTATCCGTGTTGTGTTCGTGTTGGACACCGACACTCTTAGGACACGTGTCCGATACTCTTCAAAACGTGTCCTATTTTTTAAATTTTTTTAAGGACCCAAACACTCTTTAGACACTTGAAGGACACACGTATCAATCGCTTAGACACACGTGTCAATTGATTAGACACATGTGAAACTTATTATAAGTTTGAACAAAACAACTTAAGATATAATAATAAAATAAAACACATAAATTTATAGGAATTAGTGTCATATTGTATTTTTTATTATCTTTAAATGATATATTTATATATACAACATATAATAAATATATAAAATTATATATTTCATGTGTATCCTCCACGTGTCGTGTCCTGCATTTTTTGAAAATTAATGCGTTGCCATGTTTGTGTCATATCTTTGTCGTGTCACATGTCCGCTATGAATTATGGACACGCCAAAATGAAAGCTGTGGCGGTATCGGATACGAAGACACACCGAGGACAAGTACGGGACACGACATCTGGCGTGTCCCCTTAATTTAATTTAGTTTTTTACAAGGGACACGGCGGGGGACACGCATGTCCAAATCTGGACATGCCATGGGACACGGTCGGCGAGAAGAGAAGAGTAAACAAAAGAGAAAAGGAGTACAAACCTGATTGGGCCAATCGACCTCTATGACTTCGATCTATAGGCCCCTTGGACTTCGATCTATAGGCCCCTTGGACTTCGACGATCCAGAGCCCTTCAACTTCTCAAAGCTCTCTCTCTCGCCTTCGCCTTCTCAGAGCTCTCTCTCTCTCTCTCGCTTCTCTCCCTCGCGATCAATCGCTCTCTCTTGCTTCTGTCTCCGTCTTCATCTTCTTTTGTCTCTTCTCTCTCACTTCTGTCTCTCGCTTCTTTTGATTCATATATATATAACACTATTATATAACAACTATATATTATATAATAGTTATTATATAACATATAATACATATTATAAGATAATATATACTATACATATTAATAAAAAAAAATAAACACAAATATGTAAAATAAAATAAAAAAATTAATTGGAACACATTATTTAAAAAAATATAATAAATAAATAAAATAATTAATGTGTATTAAAATAAAAATATTTATAAAAAAATTAAAAAATTTGCCGTGTTCCCTACCGTGTCCGTGTCTCCATTTTTTAGAAATTCCTGTGTCCTGTGTCCGTGTCCGTGTCCGTGTCCGTATCCATATGCGTGTCCATGTCTGTGTCCGTGCTTCATAACATGTCCGTGTCCATACTTTTTATGTTTAGTGGGTTGCAGTTTTCTTGTATATAAACCATCGCTATTAATGAAATAGGAGGAGAAGAATATTATCAGAAGTCTTCATTTGTGAAGAACAAGAGGTCAGCTTCTCCTCAATGTGAACCAACAGGAGGACTTTGCCCTCGAAGTGGATCTTTCTCTCCTATTTCTTTTGTTTTTTATTTTTGCTAATTTTGTTAACAAGAAGGTATGTAACACATAATTGTTGCAACTATAAGTAATAACAACACTTGCCCAATTCAGAAAAGGGCTCACAAGCAAACAGGAACTAAATTACGTCATATTATATGATAATTGTTAAACAATAACAAAACCAAGTTTTATAATTAGCTTATCCTAATTATGGGATTGGTATATAACAATAACATTAATATGTACCATTTTCACAATTATTCAGTAACTAGTTAGAAAATTATATACAAGCACATTAACATTTTCCATTTTCCATTCACCTTGATTTTGTTGTCATCCGCTCCTGTAGCCAAGAACTGTGAATCTGGAGAATATGCAATACAATTCACGTCATAATAATGACCCTGCTGTTTCAAGATGTAACTTTCTGATTTCCATTCCCAAACAAGCAACTGCCCAAGTTTTGCACATCCCAAAGTCAACCAATTCCCAAGATCATTAAAAACAACAGTAGTAATCTTCACTTTCGATATTGACAACAACTGAATGCAAATAAAATCGGGCATCTGATACAGTCCAAACAAGCCATTCGAGAACCCCACAACCACAAGATCAAGCCCCTTATGATAATCGCAAGCGGTCAACTTCGCCGGAGCCTGCATAAAGAAATCCTTCTTCAACAACTCCCATTTCCCAGTATGCAACAAATACCCACATCCTTCAACTAAATTACCATCTACATCACCAAAATTCTTTCTTTTTCTCGTGTCGCTAGCATCATTCAGATTTAGCTTCTGCTCCGGCGTACCCGGGGAAGGTGGTTCTGAATCATCCCCTCCCAATTTATCAAATTTATCATCAGTACCACTATAACTCCAGCTAAAAATAGCGCCATCCCGCGATATCGTGTAAGCCCTAGAAACATTATTTGTTTGCTTATCAACACCAAAGAAAGCCCCAACAATTATGTCTCTGTGACCAAGAAACAAGAAAGGTTTGTTAAATCCATTCAATTTCTTCAAACAAAACAGCCTCGCAGTCAAGTCCTTGGATCCAGCGATCACGTAATTGGAGTCCGGACTCCAATCCAAGGCTGTGATCTTATCATCGCAATCCGCGAAAGTCCGAACCAATTCGAAAGGAAAGAATTCCTTTCTAAACCCCGGAGAGCGCCAAATCTGGAGCAGTTTTCCGGCGGCGATGGCGATGAAAGAGCCGTCGGGGCTGAAGTTGAGAGCGGCGACGGGTTTCTTGAAGGAGATGCGGTGGAGGACGAGGCGGCGGCGGAGGTTGATGAAGAGGCAGCGGGAGTTGTCGTCGACGGCGAGGAGGAAGACGCCGTCGGGAGAGGCGGCGATGCGGGAGATGTTGGAGGAGGATTGGAAAGGTAGGGTTAGGGTTTGGGATTTGATGAGGTCGGTGACGGAGATTCGGTTACCGACGGGTGAGATTAAGAGGGTGTTGTTGATGAGGAGGGTGTTGCCGCCTCTGTAAGGAGCTCCGAGGAGGTTTTGGAACCTGAAATTCATGGTGGTGGAAGACTTACACTCCTCAGAATATGCACTGTAAAACCCTCCTAGGCTTGTGTCCTTAAACCCTAGTGGGTGAGAGAGAGAGAGAGAGAGGGGGGGGGAGGGGGGGGGGGGGGAAGAGTGTGGTTTGGGTTGGGCCACTTTCTAATTTGGGTTGGTTCAGACCAGACTTGTTAAATGGCCAAGCCTGACCCATGTGCTGGTATAAATGATGGGTGATTATAGATTCAAAAAAATTTCTTTAATGACATTATTTTATGACCATTTTTTTAATTTGTCACTAAAAATGATAATTAGTAATATTTTTTATAATAATTTTTTTAAATATCGTTAAAAATTAATAATTAGTGACACTAATGAAAATGTCGCTAAAAAAAATATGACTGTATAGTAACAATTAAAAGTAAACAAGACTTTTTGATGTGCCAAAAAGTTAAGAGGACTTATTGGTATATCCATCTTTCTAATAGGGCTTTTCAATCAGTGCTCCTATATGATTAGGGCTACGAAAAATTATCGAAATATTTATAAATCAATCCAAACCAGATTAGACCTATGATTTGATTTGGTTTGGTTTGATTTGATTTGCTCAAGGTGAGATTCAATTCTAATTCTTAAAATGAGTTACAGCATGATCTGTGATTTTATACTTATAGATCTTCTTTGAAACTAAACTAGACAATTTAAATATATACATTTTGTTCAAATATCTTATCATATATATATATAGGTTTTGTTAACATGTATCCTTATTATACATGTTAAATAAGTTTAAAAAGCTTATACACTATTTATTACACTGAATTTCATGCAAGATATCATTTGGGTTTGACTTCTCTCAAGTTGATCATCTCAACTTGAGAGAGAGTTTAGATTTGGTATATCTATTTTAAAATCGATGTCAGTGATTCGAACCATTCACTTTTTATTAGGACTCGTTGAGTAGAATATTCACGTAAAAAATCAAGATGGTCGAACATTAGGAACTATATGTTTGAATGAAATTTGTACTACAAAAAATGGATTATTATTCTTAAAATTATATTTATCGTCCATTTTTAAAAACAAATGTGGTTCAAACATATAATTACTAATATCTAATCATTTTGATTTTTATATAAATATTTTACTCAACAAGTTCAAGGGTGAACGATTCGAATCACCAAAATCAGATTCAAAATAGACGTTCCAAGTTCAAACGCTCTCTTAAGTTGAAAAGACAACTTGAGATAACTAATCCCTAATCTTTTTAAATTTCTTAACATGTGCTCTAAGTAGAGGTGCAATTTGGCGGGCTCAATCCGAGCAACCCGAACCCAGCCTAGATATTTTAGGGGTTGGACAAAATATTTTCAAATTCAATACGGGTTTGGGCAAAAATTTAGAAGCCCAATTAAATTTGGACAGGTTTGGATAAAGACGTCAAACAACCTGAACAACACGAAACCCGAATTATACATATATAGATATATAAAAATATTAAATATACATATAAATTATTAGCCATTACATGATATTAAAGTAATTTAGATTATTAAATCATCTTGAATATATATTATATATACAAATAACATAAAATCTTATTCTTTTTTTTCTTTTCTTTTTTTCACTCATAAATTGTAAAGACTACTATAACGACATCTCTCTTGCATTATATAAATTATTTATTTTGATGGTATTAATGATTTTCTATAAATAACAACAAAATAAAATAGAGTCAAATTTTAATAATTTAATAATGTAGTTGCAAAAAAAAAAAAAACTGAAATTCATCTATAATTCGGGGAATTCGGGCAATTCGAGTTTAAATTGAGTCGGGCTTGGGCAGGCAATCTCAGATTATAATTCAGGCCTGGACAGGTCTCAACACAACTTGGGCTAGGCTTGGACAATCTTGTAACCCAACCGAACCCGCCTGAGTTGCACCCTTAGCTCTAAGAGCACACATTAATCAAATTCTATATATGTAAGTTGTCACTCTATTTTTGCAAACTTGTTATTGTATAATAGTATGACTATTTTTAAACAATCATCTAAATAATTCTTTAATTGTGAATAGTATTTATAATCATATTGTGAATGGAGATAAGATTTCTAAAAATCGTGATTCTAAGTTGAACCGAATCAAATCATATATTTACTGATTTTGTTCTAAAAATTTCATATTTTAGTTTTGTTTCAAATGTTATACAACCGTTAGTGATGATTTGATTTTTGATTTACTCTTTAATCAAACCATGCTTACTCCTAATAATGATCCACTCATTTATTATTACCAAAAAAAAAAAAAAGAGAGACAATATTGGAACGGAAAATTATTTTTTTACCACAAATTGCTAGAAAATTAGGTGTTATTTTTCACTTTGGATTGAGGGCAGTTTTGTGAGATGTTAAAATGTTGTTCCACCTTCAGTTTTACCACCTTAGCATACAAATAATTCTATGTATATTAATAATTTAAAAATATAAGAGGTCAAATATAACTAATTGTCAAAAAAAAATAATTAATATTTAAATAATCAATGATATTAAGACATGTTAGCTTTTAATAAGAATGTTAGTAAGAGTATAAATAGATCTAACATTACTAATAAATAAAATAAATTGAACACATTAGTCAATTTTAATTTGAAAATTATTATTTAGAGTAGTAAAGTCAAATTTAAAAAATTAAATAATAATAAATAGGGTAAAGCACCAATAAATCCCAAAATATAATCTTGTGAACGGTTTAGTTATCCTTTTTTTCTTATAAATCCAAAGGTCTCATTAAAGTGAAAATTACATAAAAATGTAGTCACTTACATGTTTGAGTTTAATTTTTTAGGAATAAAAGTGATTTTCTTAAAATGTAAAATTACACATTTAGACAATTTGCACTATAGAAGTTTTGGATTTTCCCTCATTCTAGAACAAAATCACACATTACGAACAAAAACCTAAACTCTAGTGTAACACTCCAATAAAGTAACACTTCAATGTAACACACTAAAAAATTCATTGGTGTACTTTTTCCAAACGTAACAGCGTATTACTCAAAAAAAAAATTATTTGGTGTACTTTTTCCAAACGTAACTCTCCAATGTAAATATATATATATATATATATTCTTAGTATATTTTTCCCAAACGTAATATTTCAATCAGTATAATCCCAAACGTAATACTCCAATGTAACACACAAAAACACTAAAAAAACTCTTTAGTGTATTTTTTTCAAACGTAACACTCACAGTTTGAAATTATACATTTGTTCAAAACTTACTACGGAATATTTGTACTCCTTTTGGAATGGTTTGAAGAATCTCACATTTTTTTTTAAATGTTATAGTGGAGTGTTATGTTTAGGAAAAGTACACTAAGAAGTTTTTTTTTTTTTATTACATTAGAGTGTTACGTTTGGGAAAAGTACATCAAAGAGTTTTTTTGTGTGTTACATTAAAGTGTTACACTAAGAAAGTTTTTTAGAATGTTATATTGAAGTGTTACGTCTGGAAAAGTACACTAATGAGTTTTTTGTATGTTACATTAGAATATTACACGAAGGAGTTTTTGTGTGTTACATTACAGTGTTACATTAAAGAGTTTTTTTAGAGCATTATATTAGAGTGTTATATTTGGAAAAAGTACATCAAGAAGTTTTTTTGTATGTTATATTAGAGTGTTACACTAAGGAATTTTTGTGTGTTAAATTAGAATGTTACGTTAAGGAGTTTTTTTGTGTTTTATATTAGAGTGTTATGTTTGGAAAAAAATACACTAAGAAATTTTTTTGTGTGTTACAATAAAAAAAAAATTATGTGTTAATTTAGAGTGTTACACTAAAGAGTTTTTTTAGAGTGTTATATTGGAGTGTTATGTTTGGAAAAAATACAATAAGGAGTTTTTTTTATGTCAATGTTACAATAGGGACAAACAGAACAAAAAGGAAGGAACACTACACCAATAACACCACAAACGGGGTAACATTATCCACTTACAAATCACTCTACTAAATCTCCACAAAAAAAAAAAAAAAACAGAAACATAAAAACTAACCTTACCTACGCACACCCAACATTAGGAAAAAATCCAAACAAAATCACACACAAGGGCAAACAAGTAAACTTTCAAACCCCCAAATCAAAGAAATACAACATACCCAAAATAAAAAGGACTAACTTCTAGGACTAAATGGAATAACTTTTCTCCAAATGGAATTTATGAGTAATTTTTCCCAATAAATAATGATAATTACATAAAAATTCTCAAAATTTGAACGGTATAACAAAATAAATCCTAAGTTTTTAATTTTATCAATTTAAATCATAAATTTTTTATTTGTTTTCAATATAAATCATCTGCCTATTTTTGTTAAGTAAAACTAACAAAAAAAATGATATTTTAATTATTAAACTCAATGTACATATACATTAAATGACTAAAATAATATTTTTCATTGAATTTAATGACTAAAATACCCATTTTCCATCCATTTTACTTAACAGAAATAGAAAAATTGTTTAGATTGAAAACAAATTAAAAGTTAGAGCTTAAATAAACAAAATTAAAAACTCAGTATTTATTTTGTTAGAAGGCTAAAACCCTGACGTTACTAATTATAAGTTTTAGTAACAATTTAAAAAGCGTCACAAAAAAAGTTACTAATTTTTAACTTTTAGTAACAATTTAAAAAATTTGTCATAGGAAAACATTATTGATTATAAGTTTTAGCCACATTTATAAAAATCGTGATAAAAAAAAGACACTAATTATCAATTTTTAGCGACATGTATAAAAAATCGTTATAAAAAATTATTTTTAGCGACGATTTTACTAAGATTAACTTTCAATAAAATTTAATAATGAGAATTAAGTTCTACTATTAAAATCTATTGATAATTTATCCACAAAGGAACTCATGTATAGTTCCATGCTTGCTTGTAGTGGGTATTGATCACTGTCTTAAAAATCTGATTGACATGGCCTCTTTATTTTTGAAAAACATTTTCACCATTTTGAACACGGGCTTTACTCAAATTTTAATATTAAACAATGCCTCAAATCACTTATTAGTATTTGTCAAATTTTAATATCATCTGCTGTTGATTTCTAACAGTTGATGACATTTTTCCACTTGAATTCCATTGCAAAGCCTGACCTGTTAAAGATCAAATGATGGTACATTTAAACAAATGGAAGGGCGTTCAAGTACCAAAAGCTCGAATTCATAGTCGAATAACACCACACACACTCAGAGATCTGGATATAAAGGAGGCCACAGCCCTCTATATTGATTATTCAAAAAAGCAAATACAAAACGTTCATTTCAGCCAAAACAAATACCATTTCTAGATGCCTACGAGCCAATGGAAAAGGAACATATCCAAAACTTATTACAATACAGACGATCAGACAAAACGGGAATTAGAAAGGTTAATTTTACCTATACCATATACCTTTCATCCCACAATCATTATCTATATGCTTTTTTTTCTTCTTTTCTTTTTAAATTTCTGTTATTTCTTTCCCCGTTCTTCGCCCTTACTTGCTTTCATGCCTTGATTATGATTTATGAGCGAAATCCTTCAAGCCCCAACCTCCCATTTAGCCAATGACAGACTTCATTCATCTCTTTAGGGACCGTGTAATGACCAAGCCTGCAAAATCAAAACCAAGATTAAGTAAATTGGCTTTGTGATCCTTCGAAGTATGTGTCTATGTATATATATCAGTTTCGATAGTTCTAGCAGAAAGGTCAGTCAGATACCCATCATAGCTTTTGAATGTAAGGTATCGAAATCCAGCTAAGCCCATGAAGTGCGTGGACTTCTCCCCAAATTTATGAGGAACTACATCATCACCTGCATTGCGTAAAAAACAAGGTAAAAACGTTTACAACTACAGAACTTTGCATGCCCTCAAGAGATAATAGTGGAAAATAGCAGGTTTGTGAAAATATTCTCAATATCATGATCACTGTGAAGTTTAGCATGATAGAATCGATGAACTTGAACACCAGTAAGAGAATGTACTTCTCTCCTCCTTTGTTTTTCCTTTTTGGAATGGGAAACTAGGTTCCTGGTGCTATAGATCATTACCATAAAGCTTCTAGAGTGAACTATGTCTAAAATACTAGAATCACGAATCAAAGAATGGAGGTTTAAAAGCAACTATTTTCAGGATTTCTTATGATTTTGATGCGTACGAGAAAACAACTTGTACAAAAGCAAGCAAGCTTGGATGTCCCTGTCTAAAATGTAAACTACATACATGTTCCATGACAGAGCAAAATGGGCAAAGATGCAGCACGCCTTGTAGCCTCATGTGATGATTCAATCTTGTTTCTCAAGATCCTGCACAAACTAGCTGTTAACTGATATGCATGGAAATATACAAGCACCGTGTGCAGTACACTTGACTTGCTAAATCATGACGTAAAAATATACGAGTTAGTCATTCTCAGCATAGACAACAATAATATATATAAAAAAATAAAGAGAGAGAGAGAGAGAAAGTGCAGTAAGATTTGATAGAAGAGAGTATTGCATTCGTACCTTGAACCAGGAAGCCAACCGCTCAGACCAACAATAACCCTTAAGTTAATGGGGTAAGGGTTCCCATTTGCATATTTTCCTTGAGCAAAACAAGTTGCGGAGTAGAGGGCAGTTGCAGCACCCATACTGAAGCCCCCTACACCAAGTTTAACTGAAAAAAATAAAAAATAAAAAAAAATGGTGGACCATAAGGTGACTTTAATCAAACCAATCAGTTAGACAGGCCTAAGCAACAACAGTTCAAAACAGGATTGTCTTCAATTATAACATGCTAAAGTAACTTGGACATCATGAAAGATAAAAGAACAACATATATAAGTTATGTTACGTAAGACCTATAATCGAAGAAGTAACAAGGGAGAATCTTACTATCAGAAGGCTCTGGCGACAACAAATTTGCAATATGTGCTACTGAAACATCTAAACCTTCGAAATCATCTGGACTGTCTTCTGAAAGTTCTCCAACGTCAAACCCTGATATGAACCGCAAAAGGCACTTTAGAAAATTTTATCATTTATCACATCATTAAAAGATATCAAGCTTTAACCTTACATGCAGTGCAAGGGAATCCACCAAGCACAGCCACCGGGCGAGTAGGAGCTGTTGGGCATATCCACTTAATCTGCATCATAGAATTTCATCATTAACAAAGTTAAGTATAAGAATATAAGAATTATTCTTATATGGTTAAGGGTCTACATAGCATTCACATTAGCATAAAGTTCATTGAAAAAAAAGAAAAAGAAAAAGGGATACACATCCTCACATTTGGAAGAGGAAGCGTTTCCAAGAGTTGGGACCAGCTGCAATAACAAACACAGCACAGAATGAGGAGTTGTGTCTCTTTACATAAAACTATAAATTTTTTGAGCAGGTTAGTAACAGATAATCAATCTGCAAATATCTTTCTTAGGAGTTAAACGATGATAATTCAACAAATCAAAGAAATAGACACTTTATCATGGTAAACACTTAGCCATGTTTGATTTACAAGACTAATAGTGAAGTATTAATAATTCTATCAAATTAGTGTGGTATTCACTATCCAATTGGATTAACAGGATAAATTATCCATTGGATATTAATAATCTCACCGCTACCCCATTACTAATAATCCTACAAATTTGTTGGATTAATTATCTATTGGATTAATAATCCTAAACCAAAATGTTAAAACAAACATAGGATAATTGGGCCCACGGATTAATAATCCCAATCCCATGCTCTAATCGAGCCAATCAAACATGCCCTTAAATACTTGTTTAACTATTATTGGGACCACAATAGCTAAGTGAAAGTCGAATCCCAATTGATGAAATCATTAAGAAAACATGAAAAGTTGAAGGAATGAACGATTTTTCCTTGAATTAGGGGTGTGTGCTCGATATGCCACAGAATAGGACTTACAAAAAGAATTTAATAAGGCCATGTTTACTTCCATTTGTTTGAATATTCTCTGTAAAAGGTTACTAGTAGCTGTTTGCTCAGCAGGCAAGAGAACCAAATTAGTGAACTCAAGACATGAAACAAGACATGACATGAAAGCACAAAGAACTCAAGTTTTATATAATTTCAAGGTTCACAGTGAAAAGTGAGAGAGTGGAATCACAATTATTTAATATTAGACATATATACCCTTATTGAAGAACATGACAAGATATTAATATTTTGTCAACCATCTCACATTTTCTTTTGTTTTTGAACAAAAAGTCCACCCTTTCATTACAAAGGCATATGTCTAGTATAAAATAAAGAATAGACAGTTGGTCAGATCTCCTACTGTCAATATCAGAAAGTACACAAAAACTACAAGCAACAGGCTCACTGTATCAATAAAATCAATCTAGATCATCATCAATATCTCCAGACTCCTGGGGAAAAAAGAGATTCAAATTTCAGAAGTGTATTGACAGTTTTGAGTTTGTTGAACAAGGTTCTCTGCTTACGGTATACTATTTTTCCATTTCAAAGCCTTAAGTTTTAATCACAAGAATGCTAAAGAACATCTATAGAGATACCCGAAATTATATTTAAGCGTGGAGAAGTAGTAATTCTACCTTGAGCCATTATCACCAAGGCCATGCAACCAGACAATTGTAGCCTGATGTTTCCCTTTTGGCTTCACCACATATGTCCTTCCGAATTCGACTGTCCTCCTAGTTGTTGTTCTACTACCTGATTGTCATGGTGACCAAGTCATTGCTCCAAAATCAAACAAGTTTGAACTAAAGAAACATAAATACGTAAACGCTGAAAAAATAAAATAAAAATCATCATCCCCATCTATAATTGACCCCAATCTTTATTATACCAGAAAACCCACTTCAACATGATGAAAAATCTTTCATAAAAATGATCATGACCTTTGGATTATATTTAGAATAAAGCACCACACACTAATCAAGGTAATCCAAGGATCACAAATCTTTCATGAAAAAATTTTCATGATCCCTAACATTTCTCTTAAATAATAGATCGAAAACAACCAATCATAATAAGGACCAGATAAAACTAACCAGAACCCATAGAAGGAGTTGAACGACTCATTATTGTTCTACAGCTAGACCCCCTATTGTTTGCAATGAGAATAAAGAGCACTGCAATGAAGAAAACAAGATTGTAATCTCTATTTATACCCAAATGGGTAGTTTTAAAATGAAATAAATCAAGTGAATATGTATGAACTAGCTGCACATTGTGCCTAAAACCACACTAAAACCCTAAAAAGAGAGCATCCATCATGAAAAGGAAGGGTAAAGATAATGAAAAAAGCAGGAAATCTTTATATGAGAAACAGAGAGAATCAAAACAGAAAAATTCACAGAGCACATTCAGGCATACCCGAGCCGTCCAACTGTGCCTTGGGAGAGCTCTAGAGGGAATCTATACTGCTAGGCATGGCTGAAAATAAAGTAATCCATAGAATGCAACTTCTTGATGGAACCAAGAAAGAATAAACCCAATTTTGTGAAAGGTGGTGAAAAAAAAAATCAAGAAAAATCTATGTTTTCAATCATTTGTTTATGTATTTCAGTTGATTGATGGATACCCATTAACTTGAAAGTGAAGTTCAGCTCAGCTGTCGAATTTATCATCATTTAGATACTCATTATAATCTGATGAATATGGGAATAATCCTGAATTTTTTGGGGCTTGGGGACCTGGGGTTTTAAGATTTTACACTTGCTATTTGTAGATATGTATCATCACCAACCCGGAATTATTGAGTTGAAGAGACACTGGAATAGACATATGAGGCTCTCTCTCTCTCTGTTGTTATTTGGTGTTCTTCGCATTCTTTGATGAATTTTGTCTTTGTTGACAGCATGTTTGGTTTTGATTGATTTTTTTTTTTTTTTAAATTTGTATTTTTTTAGTGAATTTTTTAACATTTTAAATAAATTTTTTGTTTTCTATATGCATATAATTTAGATCTACTTAAAAAATATTTTAAAAATTCAAAAAGAATATGACAATAATTGAATTTATATATTTTTTTTTGTAATTGATGAATTTTTTAAAGATTTTTTTTCATAAATACTATACTTTTTAAGTGTATTTAGGTTAGATATATTTAAAAAATAAAAAATTTTAAAATTTTTGACTAAAAATAAAAAAAAAATGAAAAATAAAAAATTTAATTTTATGAAAAGCAAGCTCAATTTTATGAAATCAAATAAGGTGGTTACTATGTTGGGGTGTTCGTCATAATTTAAAAGAGATGATTGTAACTTATTTTAAAGAGTTTGTAATTGTTTGATGGACATTATGCTAATAGCTTTTTAGATAGAAATATCTTAAATAAATTAAAAAAAAATTGATTATCTAAAAGCTAAAAGAGCATACTTTTAACTTCTGTTTTGTAATTATCAACTTCTAACCTTTAAGAATCTACACCTCATTATCTCCTCTAAAATGGGACAAATATCAAATAAATGGAAAAAAAAAATTATAAATTGGGGTAAATTACACGAAAAAAATCTCAAATCCCCACTGGAGGTGACCACCAAGCCCCCCAGTGGAGTGTGATTGGTCAAATTTTTTTTTTTTTAAACCAATGTGTGGAGGTGGTGGGGGTGTTGGGAGACTGGGGTCTCCAACACGTTTGAAATTACACTCACCACATTTCAAGTTTGAATATATATATATAATATATATATATAATTACTCCATTGACATAATTATATTAGTTCTTTTCAAGTTTTAATTTATGGGAAATATTACGCTATGCACCTCTCAAACATTATGGTACACATTTCTCAAAGAGTGTGTATCATATACACCTTATAATTAAAGAAAAAAATTATATAATTTTATATTTTTTGAGTCGTAAAAAAAAAAATTTCATAATTAAACATAACATTAGACATAACTAAAGATCTCGTGAGTCATAACTAAAAAAATTTTTTTATCATAATTAAAAAAGAAAATAGTGTAGCTAAGGGTGCATATGATACATCCTTTTAAAGGGTGTATATACAGAATTTCCCTTTAATTTACATAATAGTTGATCTATTATTGATTCAGGTCAGACTATAGTACACAATCTACAAAAGATGTGTATCATATATATGCACCCTTATTATATAATTTTATGGTAAATGTTATGTATTTTTTTGATAAAGTTCCAAAAATTTATAGTTCATAAATGAAATTACACATTTTGTAGTAATATTATGTATTTTTGTGGTAATGTTATACATTCAGTAAAGGTATAATATTACCACAAAAATACATAACATTACTACCAAAATTCATAACATTATTACAAAATTATCGCAACCTTACCAAAAAATTCTGTAACATTTATCACCAAAATACATAACATACATCACAAAATTATATAATAGGTGTATATAATTTCTTTTTTCATTAATAATTTGTTAACCGTACAAAATTATATAATAGGTGTATATAATTTCTTTTTTCATTAATAATTTGTTAACCGTATGAATGAAAAAAAAAATTAAAAAAATTATATTATCTCTTTTTTTACTAAACTGTATATTTATTTATTTTTTATTTGAGTGATTGTACACCATCAATATTAGTTTCATCCACTTTAATCATACTAAAAAAGAAATGCGTATAACTATAAAGTGTAGGATATTTTTTCCAACTTTCACTACAAGAGAACATACTTTTTGAGTCGGCAGGTTACTGTCGCAAAAAACATAATTGCCGTCGCAAAAACTTTTTGCGACGGCCTTTCGACGGCATGGTGAGGGACGAGAGTACGGGGGTCGCTAAAACTTTTTGAGTCGGCAACTGTGCCGTCACAGAATATTTGCGACGGCAAAATGTATTAATTGAGACGGTATCCTGCCGTCACAAAAAAGACCAAAAAATCACTACTATTATTTATGTCGGTACATTACCGTCGCTATAGAGTTTTTTGTGTCTGCAATGTGCCGACTCTAAAAAAATTCACCTGTACATTGCATAGGTTTTTTGAGACTGTTAGTTGCCGTCACCAAAAAAAAAAAAAAAAAAAATTTTTTCAAAAAAAAGTTTTTTTTTTTTTTTAATTAATTTTATGAACATCGTTATATTTGGAAGAGATGAATTAGAGAATGTTGGGAAGTTATTACAAATTGAGCACAAGTATAAATAAGTGATTATTGGAATTGACTTGCAACTAAGCAAAGCAAAACAAAAATTTCACAAAGGCGGTCGTCTCGGATGACTGGGTGAGGAAAAATTATTTTTTAGAGAGCAATAGAGCAACAAAACACAATGAAACTTCAAATAAACAATTATGCAAGAAGATTATGCTTAATAATAAATCGAAAATTGCAACACAGAACAATACAATACCGTCGAGGCTTGTGTTGGACGCAATTTTCTTAAGGTTTAATTTGCCCCTACCGAGGTGCTAAGTTATTGGTGCCAACCTCCCAGGATACAACGACTAAAATCCAAGACTGCAACACAATGATCTCAAATATAGCGAACCAAACTTGTGTTGCACTCTCTTTAACTCAGACTCTAAAATGAATAATGATGAAGAAAACAGAGTAGAAATTTCAGAAAAATCGATGTGACCGTGACTCTAATTTATATTGTAATTTGATATGAATTTTCTTCTCTACAACAACTTAGGAAGAGTGGGGTACTTATAGACTTGAGATGGCATTGAGTGTGGACTCAGGCTTCCACTAGACATCTTTTTTCGAGAAGTCCTCCATTATTACAAGCTTAACCCAATGCAGTTAACCATTAACTCATACAGAGTCATTAATGGTATCATAACCTTAGCACGCCGAGAAAATGCTAGCGTGACCTTAGCCGACATCCAATACTGCTACACTATGTGTGGCCTCAAATTAGAAAAAGGCTATGTCTACTACCTCAAACTGAGGTCTACTGAATATAAACTTGTTGTCGACCTCCCAATCTCCAACAAGGGAGCTGGAGATGATTACTTCATTGTCTTAGGCAACTGGGAGTTTGCTCCAGATAACGACCTTCACCTCTGCCCTCTCAGTCGAATAGTATTCGTAGAGGGCAATGGTAAGAGCCAAGTGCTACATTTTTTCAAGCCTTTAATACTTCGTTCTTTCCATATGTTCTAACATCTGTTTTTCTTGCAGTTCTTCCACAACCACAAAAGACTTTCACAAGTCTTTATTCCCCAGCAAGGACCTTAAGAAGTTGCTGGACCTGCCAGTCCACAAGCGGAGTGCTCCTTTACTGCTCAACTTCATCCCGACCTACAAGTCGGTACTTCCCGACGTCCCAAGGAAGCAGAAAAACAAGTCTCCTCCTTCCGCCATAACTCCACCAACAATTTCATCATCTTGGCCAGATCAAGGGTCAACCTCATATTCAGCAGAACAACCATCTACCTCGGCTCCACAGCTGATCCTACTATCCCAACGCCAACGCCGAACTGCAATTCCTGCCGAGATGGGTCGCAAGAAGGCAGTCGCAGAAGATCTTCTAGCCGACATCCCTGACACCGTCAACGCTTAACCAGCACAATCTTAGCCTCAACCAACACCAAAGCCTAAAAGAATGAAGAAGGCCCAGCCTAAGGCAACGGTGACTCAGATTGACACTGAGGACACCTTGCCAATTTCAAAATTGGCTGAGAGCGAGAAGACCCCCTCTGTCCCTGAGAAGAGGCCTGTTGAGGCCGAACCATCCCAATCAACTCGGTCGAAGAGGCCAAGGTCCGAATCGGCAACAGCTTCGGGCTCCATGAAGCTTGACTCCTCCTGGGCCCCCCCAATCACACTGGAGGACAGGCCGATCAGAGCTGGCGATAGTGTCGATGATGTTAACGTCGGTGTTGCCCTTACTACAGCTTTGCTCCTTCCTGGAGATCTCGATCGCAACGCCGAGATAAGCCAGTATGAAAACTTCGCCTTGATGCTGCAACACTCCGTTCAAGTAAGTCCCTTCACTGGGTAATTTTCTTTCTCTTTTTTTCCATACTTAGAGAATTTCTACTAACTTTTGTTCTATCCATTTTCTTTCAGGCGATCCAGCACGCCCACTCCTTCTCTATGCAATCTTTTGAAATAAGAAAAGAGTTGGTCGACAAAATCAGGGAGGTTGGTGGTTTACAGAAGGCCATCAAAAGGGTCGAGGAAAAAATGAAGACCTTGTCAGATCAGGTTGCGACAGCCATTAAAGCCAAAGACGTGGCCAAGGAAAAAACAGATGTTGCAGAGGCCATTAAAAAGGTTCTTGAGGCCGAAAAGAAAGAGGCCGAAGAAAAGACGGCCGAGGCCCAAAAAGAACTCCAAGATGCCTTAGCCACAAAGGAGGCCAAGATCAAGGCCGCCGATGAGAAGGCATACGCAGAGGGGGCGACCGACGTCAAGGAGGACTACAAAAAAAAAGTGAAACAGGCATGCAACAAGGGTTTCACCCTTGGTTGGATGGCTGC